AATGACTGGATGAACCATGGTTGGTCTGGCACTGTTATATTGGGGAAGCCAATACAACTTGCTTAATGTCAGGCGTGCTTCCCTCAATAACCAAGAAAGAAAACTTCCAGCTCCATTGTTCGTGGAATTAAAATATTTTACTGGTTATGAAAAGATGGCAGCGAAAGTAAAGCAAGATCTGAGCCACAAAGGCACGAATCCATGCATATCAAACAATTTCCCAACCCCTCCCCTCAATGATTGCCACCCCAGTGTTCAATATGCAACTCTCTAAGATGTTCTGGGGTTGCATCTCCAGACAGCACCATCACATTGGTATGCAGGACAGTTGGCCTTGACCATCAGTTGGCCATCAGCCTGCACAGAAGATGGTGAGAAGAAAAGTCCCTTTACCATATCACCTCCAGTGCCATTTATTCCCATCCCAAATACCATGACCTCTCCTTCCCCTTTTCTACGGCAGCCGATAGCAAGTAAGCGAAGCAGAAGCTGACAGTACCTGTGTTTCCAAGCTGCTTCTGAAAGAGAAGGAAGCAGCCAGGGAGATCTTCTTCAGATGAGCCCAGGCCAGAGCAGCATTGAAGCCCATTCCAGCCTTGGATGTGCCCGGACAGTATTGGTACAGGGGTGTGTCCAGGCCACCAGCCCTCCTGGTATGCAAACATATGGCTGATTTCCAATACTGGTCTGCCCGTACCGGTGCGGACCGGAAGCAAGCCACCTCTGTGTGGGAATGAATTTCCAGAGAAAAATTGCTGGCTACAGGAACCAGGAGCACTAATAGCCTTCTGAAAAGCACTGAAGACCTGGCTTTCCCCCCAAATATTAAGATAGGATGATGTGGACAAAAGGATTAATGATTGACTAGAAATTTGCAATATTTATGGTTTTAATAGGTATATGTATTACATTGTTATATTATTGATGTTATTCTAATTGTTGGCTGGGAGCTGCGTAGAGTGTAAGATGGGGAGCTATAGGAATATTTTTAAAAATACATAATTTATACAAACTAATATAAAATAAGAAAAATAAGAAACAAAATCAAAGAGAAAGCTAAAACTGCAAGAAAGAAAGAAGTAAAAGAAAAATAGAAAAAATAGAAAGAAGTAGCTTTTGAACTTTACAGCAGTTATAAGTAAAACCGTAAATGCACCTCTTACTCCAACTCTCTTCTTTTTATAATCTATCATGTCTAATCATCAAAATCATAAATTATGTTCATTTTTTCTATTTCATTTGAAAAATAATAAAGGGATACAATCAAAGGGGCATGATGGCTCAGTGGTTAAAGATGTTGAGCTTGTCAGCTCAAAAACTGGTGGCCCGGGTTCAAGAACTGAGCGCTGTAGGATGGGGTGATTTCCCATTCTTGCCTCAGCTCCTGCCCACCTAGCAGTTCGAAAGTATGCAAATGCAAGTAGATAAATAGGTACCATTTCAGTGGGAAGTGTTCTATGTACTTCGGCGTATAATCATGCTGGCCAAATGACCATGGAAATGTCTTTGAACAATGCTGATTCCCTTGGCTAAGAAACTGAGATGAGCANCTATCTATCTATCTATCTATCTATCTATCTATCTATCTATCTATCTATCTATCTATCTGTTTCAGTAGTCCCCAGACCTTTGAGCTATCTAATTTTGAAACTTTTCCCCCAGAGGGAAGTGTACAGTAAGCATAAAAACAGTATATAAGAGTTAAAATTTAAAAGAAGGCAAGGCTGATTAAAACCAATGTTAAAAAATAATTGAAAGGTAAAAGAGGGGGGGGGGCTTTCAGGGTGTTAACCACTTGCTCTCCCCAAGGAGGAAACAAAGCCACAGAGCCATGTTTTCACCCCTTTCCAAAAAGGTTGGAGAATGGGAGCCCGCCTCACACCGGGGAGATGGATGTTCTACAGGGTGGGTGGGACGGGCTGATAAAATTGGGAAATGTAGGGCTTTAAAAGTCATAACACCTTGAATGGACTGCTTCATTTATGTTCTACTTGGTTTTATAATTTGGTCTGTAGCATTATCAATTCCCTTTGAAATTGATATGCCCGGGCGGGGGGGGATGACGACATATAAAACTATCATAGGAGGGATTAAAGCAGGAAGGAGTTCGATTAACCTGCATTCAGGTTCAGAGACACATTCAAGGGGGAAGAGCCAATATTCTTGGTCCTCCTGATGGAAAAAGCCAGAGGTGGGCTGCCAGAACCCGTAGCTAACATTATGGCTGGTTTGGAGAACCTCCAAATCCCATCACTGGCTGGCCTTGCCCACCAAGCCCCGCCCCTTCCACCCCGCCACATCCCTCGCAGGAGTCTCCACGCGGCCCATTTTGGATGTGAGGTAAGTCCATATAGAGGTTAGGGGAAAGGGGAAATGGCCTCCCGGAAGGCCTCCAGAGCCCGGGGCAGGTAGTTTTCGCCCTCCCAGAGGCTCAAGGAAAGCCTCCGGAGCCTGGGGAAGGCGAAAATGCCCCCTCCCCACCATGCTGCAGGTGGCCGACTACATTCTTTCTGAGGCCATTTGGAGGTTTATCGTTGCCCTCGGGGTCATCTGAATCATGCAAATGGGTGTGGAGCCATTTTGGAACTGATGAAAGGACTGTGTTGTAAACAGGAGATAGATGGTGTCGTATCCTAATAACCAAAATGACTGCATGGAATGTAATTCCTTCCATTCTCCATCATTTAATCAAAACCGAAGAAGCTTCTTAGATGAGAAGTGAAACTTATTTGAAGAAAAACAAAATCCAGTTGCCTTTTTGGAACCCCCCCCCCCCCCCACACCTTTGCGACCAATTTGGCAGATTCTGCCATCTAGAAATCATCTAGGTCGGTGGTTCTCAACCTGTGGTTTGAAATCCTCTGTGTGGAGATCACAACGTCATCACAGGGATCCACCAAGGCTTGGAGAAATGTTATGATTTAAATCTTGAGTTACGTCTTGAGGGTCCATAGTGAAGGAAGGGTTGAGAATCACTTATCTAGATAATGGCGGGTTAGAATTTTCTGATCAATGCTTATCTGGAGCTCAGGGGGGGTTTCTCTTGTACGCAGTCCAGAATTTAAGTGGCTTAGTAAGGTGGTAGGCTGAACCAATGTAGGCCCCAAGCCTTAACCAAACTAGGGTTTCATGAAATTAAGCTTTAACTGTTCATATATAGAAATTGCAAAGGTTTGCTTTTAAGAAGTCTGCACATGAAATATGCTGAAACAAAACATCTATTTTAACCTATTTGCTGGCTTGGTTATAAATCAGTTTAGTAGACACATTGTCAGTTCCTCAAAATACATGAATGTCTGTCCGTTGGCTGACATATGTAGTATGACTTCCTGTAGACATAATATTGCTGTAACTCAAGGGCAAATCTTGAGGGGTGTTTCCAAGATTAACAGATGGCTTTAACTGAAAGTGATAAACTATAAAAGGAATTTCCTGCTTTCGTTCGTGGTTCAGACCATTGTCTCTGAACTTGCGCAATAAACATTTCCTTCCCTGAAGAGCTGGCTTGCGTGTCCTGTCTTTTCTACAACATTAGGAAAATAAAGAAGGGACCCAAACTGATCGGAAAGAAAATCCCAATTTCTACGGAACTGTTCCTTGCCATTAAATCGAAACCGCTCCAGAAATAGATCTGGGGTTTTTGGGTCACATGGGAGATGGGATACTAATTCTAGCTTCTGTCATATAAAGGTGACGAAGATTCCTCTGCCTGCTCTAATGTCCCAGATGTTTTCTCTTTTTTTTGCCCCAAATGTCAGTTGAACAAGCAATATGGAGACATTTGCACTGTGTGGGTGTGGCATCAACCTGTGGTAGTGATTTCTGGATTTCATGCAATCAAGGAGAGCCTGAACAACCATTCGCAAGATTTTGCTAATCGGCCCATTTCGAGTTTTCTTCTAAAAGTAGGTAAAGGTAAAGGTAAGTCCTTCTGAAGATCAAGGTATTTTTATGGTCATTTAACCTGGAGAAAATGTAAGAAAAGAAGAATATTACATACCGTATATACTCGAGTATAGGCCGACCCGAATATAAGCCGAGGCACCTAATTTTACNTACAACAACAAAGTTCCATGACTTTTCCTCCGATTGTTTGTCCAAAGAAAAGCCTCTGGTCTCAATTGTATATTAATCTTTAAATCCTCTTGATCAGTGTGTCTATTTGAATCCAGATTTTTCTCACTTTTACATATGTCACTTGTTTTAAACCTCCACATTCTTCTGTCACGGGAGTGTTGAACATCCCCAAATGATGGTCTTTCTATTCCAGACTGCCTTGAAATACAATGTCCCTTTGAGGCAAGAAGAAGCACCATTTTGGCTGGAGGTGGACACTGTTCCCGAGACTTGCACAGGAGTCAAAGCTCACGTCACTTTTGACATTGCCATAAATGTCAGGTAATCTCTTTCTTGGATCAGTGCTGAGCCTTCCTTCCTTGAACAGATACAGGCCCTTCTCCTCCAAGGATGGACCATGTCTGAGGGTCCGAAGGCTGCTACTCACCTCCCCTGCTTTCTGAAAGGCCACAGTTCCACATTCCAGAAGCTCCATTTAATGGCAACATTGGATGGAGGCCCTGAGGGCACGGCCAACCTTTTATGAACCCACATGCAGCATTTTTCCCTCAGGCTGTCTATTCCTTGCTTTAAAATGAGTCACATGTCTTCTCTCCTTTCTTGGTTTCTCAGTTACACCGGCCAACGTCTGGTTTCCAACATGGCAATTGTCCAGATTAAGATGCTATCCGGATACATCCCGGTGAAATCCAGTGTAAAAAAGGTATTTTTTTTCTCAGGTTCCCTTTTCCACTAAACTTTCAGTACTGTATTTCTCGATGCAGGTAATTCTCAACCTACAACTGTAATCAGGCCTGGAATTACGGTTGCAAGTTGTGCTGTTCACTAAGTGGGTCAACTTTTGACTGCACCTAATTTTGCAATCTTTTTTCTTCCTTTTTAAAAATATATATTATTGTTTTATCATGAAAAATATAATACAAAACAGAAAAGCAAACAAAACAAAAGCATACATTCAACACTAACAACAAAATAGTGTACAAAAAAGGAGAAAAAAGTAATCAAATAAATTGAACATTTAACATGTAGAATCCACCCTAGCTATTACTGAAAAAAGAAAAAGTAGAAGCAGTAAATTCTCTCCTTTTTCACGTGTGTGTTTGTGTGTGTGTGTGTGTGTGTGTGTGTGTGTGTGTGTGTGTATGTAGAAATATGTATCTTAAGTGCATTATTATCTGCAATTTGGGTTTTTTGATGGAAATTGGAAGTAAATACTGGTTTCTGGTAAAAACCATTGTAAATCATAGTCACATGACTGTGGGATGCTTCAAAGAGCCAGAAAGGCAGGTGGGTGCCAAGCACCAAAAATGTGATCACATGACCATAGGTGGAGGGCAACCAGATGGAGTGGCCCTGGGAGGTTTGTCGTAACCTTGAATGGATCTAAGTCCATTCAAGCCCACTGTAATAACATTGCCAAAAAGGTATTAAGAGTTGTTAACCTAATCTTTCATATCTTCTTCTCTGGTCATATAGTATTGCTAACCAGAACATACAAAACATTTGCTAGACCAATTCTTGAATACAGCTCATCTGTCCGGAACCCACATTGCATATCGGACATTAATACAATTGAGCGAGCCCAGAGATACTTCACGAGAAGAGTCCTCCACTCGCAACAGAAT